CGCGATCGGAGGGATGGCCCCGTGGCCGTTGATGTACTGCTTCAGCTTCGGCAGCCACTTCTTGCACGTCTTGAGCACCCACCCGTCCACGGCGTTGGTGACGATGCAGACCACCCCATACGTCTGTGCCACCTGAGGGGGAAAGAGACGGGTTATTGGGGAGACGGGGAGGACCAGAGAGAGAGGAGGTGGCCTGGGGGCGTGGAAGGGGAGGGGGAAATAGAGGTGAAGGGTGGGCAGGGGGAGGATTGGGAGCGCAGTGGGAGAGGGAAAAAAGGGGGGGGGGAGGAGGAAAGAGACTGGAGAAATGAGGAGGAGGAAGGACGGCGCAAGGAGACGGGATGTGAGGGAGGGCGGGGATGGAAGGAGGGAAGGGAAGAGAGCCGAGGGAGGATGAAGCAGAGACGAGGGAGGAGGGAGAACAACAGGGTACGAACGTCACCCACGAGCCCCAGGCTCCTTCCTCCCAAGGCAGGAGCCCTGCCTGCAGACCCCACGGACCCAGCTCTTTGCCGCCCCCCCCATCGGGAGCGGCCAAGAGGGGGGTGTCCAACAGGGGGGGGGGGGGGGGGGGAAATCATGACCGGCGGCATGTGCGCGGCCCAGCGGGGGGCTAGGGACGTAATGAAATAAGAAGAGGCGCCATGAGATCTGCGGAAATATCATGGCCCCCGCCATGATATCCACTGCCCCCCTAATCATCACCCCCCTCTTTGCCGCCCCAAACCCCCCCAACGAACAAAGAACCCAGCCAGACCAAAAAAACGGAAAAGAATTCTTCGGCATTCCTTCGGGATCCAGAAAGCAACCAACGCAGTCCGGGGAGCTGAAGCCATGTGCGCGCTAGCGCGCCTAGGATTCGCGACGAATCCCCAGGAATCCCGCGGAATCCTTAGGGAATCCCAGGAACCCTACGTCTCCTTAGGAATCCCTAGGAATCCATATGAATCCCGAGGGAATCCGAGGGAATCCATCCATAGGAATCCCTAGGAATCCATCGGAATCCTTAGGGAACCATAAGAATCACGAAATAATCCTAAGAATCCTTAGGGAATCCGATGAATCCGTAGGGAATCCTAGGAATCCCTAGAGAATCATAAGAATCCCTACGGAATCCTACGAATGCCTAGGGAATCCTATGAATCCAGATGTAATCCTAAGAACCCCTAGGGAATCCTAGGAATCCCTGTGGAATCAGAAGGATCCTTCAGGAATCCTACGAATCCCTAAGGAATCCTATGAATCCGTATGTAATCCTAAGAATCCCTAGGGAATCGTAGGAATCCCTGTGGAATCCGAGGAATCCTTGAGGAATCCTTGGAATCCCTAGAGAATCCTCGGAATCCCTATGGAATCTGCTGAACAACACCTAAGGAATCCTAGGGATCCCTAGGGAATCCAAAGACTCCCCAGGGAGTCCTAGGAATCCCTAGGGAATATTGGGAATCCCGAGGGAATCCGAGGAATCATTAAGGAATCCTGCGATTCCGTTGCGGCAACCCACGCATTCCAGCGAGCTGAAACCATGTGCACGCTAGCGCGCCGATCTCACAGCTCCACACTCGCCTAAGAATCCCTATGGAATCCTAATTAGGGAAGTCGGTGTGGACAGAGTCTGCTGCGCGCTGGGTCCCCGCGAGGCGATGTGCAACAGAACACCAATTGGAGGGCTGAGGACCGTGGTAACGGCCGCGCAAGGGTGTCTGATCAACACCGTTCCGCAGTTCCACACGTGCCTGCATGCCCAAACCCGTCGCTTCTCTGCCTGGAAGACAGACATTCACATTCCAGCATCATACATATCCATGAAACACGAGATGGCGCTGAAGAATTTAACACACAACAAGCGCGTGGACACGCAAGCTATCATCGATTCCCGTGGTAACTGTGCTGTCGAAAGGCAACGCCCTCGCATCCCACCTTGATGAGGTCGATCACTGCCAGCTGCAGCTCTGCGATGGAGTCGTGAATGTGGGGGAGGTCTGGCAGAGGCTGGTTGAACCAGGCTGGGATCCTGTCCTCACCAGGACGGCGGAACTGGGTGGGAGAAGCGCTTTAGCAGGAACGGAAGGTCGAAGGATGGAGGCAGGCTGCGAGGAAACGAAGGAGGAGGAGACAATATAGGATGCGTGCGGCCTGTGAGCGAAGACGTGGTCTGAATCACTGGACCGGGCATCACACAACGGTGAATGGCGAACACCATCGTTTTGCTCCACGACCGATTTCTCCTTGCCCTTCCGATGCCAGCACTTGGATACCACAACACCCCAGGCAAACTTGGCTCATCGGCAAATGCCCGAGGTGACAGAGACCTGAAAAACGGAGGATCGGGCCGGGCGAAAGGGGGGGATAGCAAAGGGGGGGGTTGAGAATCAGCTCACGTAGCTGATCTTCCCGGCGCCTCCCGGCGCCGGGAGGCGCCCATGCATCGAGGAATGGGCCTGGCGGCGGGGCCGAAACCAGCTGCGTGCAGCAGATTTCGTACCCCCCCCTTTCCCAATCCCCCCCTTTCGTTCGGCTCGAGATGAGGCGAACGTGGAAGGATGTGCTTGTTCAATTCACCACCACCGCCACCACTCAACACGCTTGTGTAGGTCGGGCGTGTCCCCCTACAGGGTGAGTTTCGGCGAAAAATGGAAAATACCCCCAAGATTCTCCAAAATGGTAATATTAAAAAAAATGCTCAAACAACAGTCCCCAGACTATTTTTGACTGTTTTCGAATTGCCCTCCTGTAGAGGGACAGGCCCGATTTAACGCTTGTGGATCGATGCGCACTGGTCCGCAGGCCGAAAACACGACCGCCCGACACAGGCTCCTTCCAGTCGAAGTCGTCGAAGCCGAACTCGCCCTCTGCCCACTCCCACTGCTCGGACAGGTGCTCCTGGCGCACGGCTCTTGGCCGATGTGCAGCATTTAGGAGGCAACGCCTGGGAGGTTTTCGTCGGAAAAGTGAAGGAAGATGAAGCCCCGTTTGGGAGCTGTTACGCCGGAAAGGGCCTCGGATTAAGCGGGATTAAGCCGGATTAAGCAGGATTGAGCCAGATTTCGGACCAGGGCAAAATCAGAATTTGACCTCCCAGGAATTGCATCCGAATACAGCGCGACTGCAACGTAAGAATGCACAGTAAGGATGCAAGACCCAAGGTCGCGCAAAATGAGGCCAAACTTGAAAGCCCATGGCCTATGCCCAGGACGGGTCGAGGGGCAAGGATAGGCACCCTTGAAAAATGACTCATCCTTTATGATGCGGTCTGCCTGCAATTACCTTACACCTTGATACCTCCGCTAAGGAGATTGAGGAAATGACAGCGCAATGAGGCCACACAGAAAACAAGCCAAGCCGAACGAATATAAAGCAACATGCACAAATAAACAAGCCAAACCTTACATGTGTAGTTATATAGACACACACAAACAATGTTACATAATATGTGCACATACACACTGATAGCATGACGGCCGAGAACCGAACCGAGAACCGAACATCGGGTCTGGAACCGAACCGGCCAAACGGGCCAGACGGGCCAGCCGAACTGGACTGGCCGAACCGAACCGGCGGCCAACTATGTGAACCAAACAAGCCAAACCAGACCGGCCGAACCGAACAGGCCGAGCCGAACCAGGTGGCCAGCCAGCCCAATGTAGGCGACGGCGGCGGCAAGGACGACGACTTCGCGGCCCCCCCCAGGGTCCCCCTGGAGCCAGCGTTGACCCCAAGAAGGGACGACGACGATGACGACGACAACGACAACCACGACGACGACGACGACCGACGACGACAACGACGAACGACAACGATGACGACGACAAACGACAACGACGACGCCAACAACGACGACGACGACAACGACGACGACGACAACGACGACGACCTGGTGCCGCCCACGGGACCCCACATGGCCTCCATCGTCGTCCTCCTCCTCCTCCTCCTCCTCCTCCTCCTCGCTCCCCCTCCCTCCCCATCCTCGTCGGAACTGCCGAACGGGCCCGCCTGGAATCGAAAGAATTCGAAATCGAACCGACCGGGAACGGCAATTGCACATCGAAATCGGATCGGATCAGATCGGGCATGCATCGATTCGTCTGGGCGAGCCGGCCGAGACGGCCGAACCGAAACGGCCGACACGAACGGGCCAAAGAGACGAAATCCGAACCGGCCAAACCGAACTGGTCTGACGCGAACCAAATCGGGTGCGCATCGAACCGAACCGAACCTCAACTGTCATGAAATAGTTCCCATGCCTCCTGCGTTGGGTACTTGTTTGAATAGGGCGCTGCGGTCGCACACCTTCCTTCCTTCCTTCCTTCCTTCCTTCCTTCCTTCCTTCCCGCCTCCTTCCTGTTCTCCTCTCCCCTCCTGCCTTTACCCCGCCACTTTAGAGGGCTGCTGGGGGGTTCAGCGGAGTGAAGCACCACCCAGACTCAGATTCGACTTCGCCATCCCTGGGGGGGGTGCGATCTGCGAAACTGACATCACTTCCGAGGGCTGCCGGGGGGTCCAGCGGAGTGACGCACCACCCAGAGTCAGATTACACCTCGCCATCCTTCGGGGTTGCGATCTGCGTGACTGTCGCCACTTTCGAAGCTTGCTGGGTGGTTCAGCGGAGTGACGCACCACCCAGACTCATATTAAACCTCGCCATCCCTGGGAGGTTGCGATCTGCTACGCTATCGCCACTTTCGAAGCCTGCTGGAAGGTTCAGCGAAATAAAGCACCACCCAGACTCGGACTAGACCTCGCCATCCCTAGGGGAGCTGCGATGTGCGACGCTGTCACCACTTTCGAAGCCCGCTGCGGGGGTCAGCGGAATGAGGCCCCACCCAACCTCATATTGGACTTCGCTATTCATGGGGGGCTGCGATCTGCGACGCTGTCGCCACTTTCGAACCCTGATGGAGGATTCAGCGGCGCGAGGCACCACCCAGACTCGGACTAGACCTCGCCAGCCCTGGGGGGGCTGCAATCAGCGAAAATGATACCACTTTCGAATGCTGTCGGGGGGTTAGCGGAGTGAAGAACCACCCAGACTCGGATTAGACCTCGCCGTCCCTGGGGAGCTGCGATATGCGACACCGTCGCCACTTTCGAGGCTTGCTGGCGGGTCCAGCTGGGCGAGGCACCACCCAGACTCAGACGAGACCTCGCCGTCCATGGGGGGCCGCGATTTGCGACGCTGTCGCCACTTTCGACGGCTCCTGGGGGTCTCAACGGAGTGAGGCACCACCCAGACTCAGATTACACCTCGCCGTCCTGGGGGGCTCCGATCTGCCAAACTGTCACCACTTTCGAGGGCTACTGGGGGGTCCAGCGTGGCGTTGCCGCGGGCCGCCCGCAAACCTGGCGGCGCACCTTCGAGCGTCAGCTCTCGCACTAACGCGTGCTGGAAGGAAGCTGGGAAGCTGGTGGGCGAGCTACGCCTCGCTCGTTTCTTGCACTACTTATAAGCAGGTTTAATCATGTTGTCGTACGCCGCGGCGACATGGCGCATGCAGCGTTGAATCTTTAGCGTCCGACCGACAAAAACAACACTCTTCGGTCTCCTCCAATCATTTTCGTCGTCGTCTTCTGCCCCCATGCCGCCTTCCCTCTGCTGCTGCCGCGCTGACGGGTCGGCCCTTTCTCGTCCTTTTCCGGCCCTTCGTTCCCGCCCCCATGTCCTCCTCAATCCTGGGCCCTCGTTCCTCGTCCTTCTGTTGTTGTCCTGTGAACCGTGCCACGTAAGCGCATCCCATGTAGCTTGCACAACATATAACCGCGCCTGCACTGGCATTGTCCTGGCAAGTTTGGGTCGACGCCTCTTGTCAGTTGATGCAAGTGGGTTGGGTACGTCGCAAGGTAATTTGAAGGGCCAGAAATGTTCGACCTAGCCAACGCGGGGACAGAGAGCGCACACTCGTTGGCGCGAGATCGCTGGCTCACCTTTTTAGGGGGCCCACTTGGGATACCCTGGGGGCCATCGTGGGGTCCGTTACGGACCCGAGCTAACCTTTTGGAAAGTACTCGAGCCAACTTGGAGGTATCTTGGGGCCGCCTTGGAGGCTCTTTGGGGCGGTTTCAGGCCGTCTGGGGGGGCTCTTATCAGCCCCTTAGGCCCTTTTCAAAAGCCTCTGGGAACTGTCTGAAGCCAGCTTGAGGTAAATAGCAGGGGGTGTCAACATGTTCCAAATAAGCGAGCAAACCACATCATACCCATGAGCCCAAACCGGGGCATTGATGTACAATGCGCGTAAGACGGGCAAGAAACAGTATGCATCGTGGTTGAGGAGGACGAAGACGAGGAGCCATCACACATTTTCTTGCCGTCAACCGCAAGTCGAATACTCCATGCCAGTGAAGTGTTCCTTTCTTGTCCGCACTATTTTCACACCGTCTTCCCGGTCAGCCTGTCAAGATGATCAGAAGGCGACTGTTGCTTGCCATGCACGTCCGTCAAACGAAGGTGGGCTGCCCTTTTTTCGACGTCTTCACAAGCTGCACTTCTGCCACGCAGAATTAATGCACCGCAAAAAAAAAAAAACAAGGACGATGATGAAAAAAACAACATTGTGAAAACTGTGGCGGATTTCCACCGACGTTCGCATCCCAGGCGCTGCCCGGCCACCTGGCGCGCTCGGGGGCACTTTGGCACCGCTTTGGGGCAACTCGGGCCGTCTCGGGGGCCTGCTCGGCAGTCCTGGGCGCCTCCCACAGCCCGCTGGGGCCGTCTCGGTGTCCTCTCGCAGCAAATCGTTAGCGTTCCTCCCCTGACATCGTCTCGTTGTATGTGTTTTCCCCAAACAGCGTTTGCACTTAAGGGTATTTTTTTGGTTCAAAGGAACTGGGCCGTGTCTTCGCTTTGGTGGTTATGTGGCCACCGTCGCCGCCCCGTGGCCGCCCCGTCGCCGCCCCGTCGCCGCCCGATGTGTTGGGTCGTGTCTTCACTCCGGCGGCTGTGGCCGCCGTCGCCGCCCTGTCGCCGCCCTGTCGCTCCTCGTCGGCAGCGCCGTCGAACGTGAAGTGCGATTTGCCCCCGCGACTCGGCTCGGCATTGCCTACGCGACTCGTTCCGCCCTTTCCGCTGCCGAACTTCCTGGCTCCCTGATGTCCAGACTTCGGGCGCGCTGCGTCGCCTGCCCAGTGCCCGACGCGCCTGTGCGCTCCGCGACGCGCGCGCTTCTTCTCTTCCTCAATATGCTCTTGGCGCTCCTCGAAGGTCACGTCACCCTCGAAGAAACCTCACTGTTCCTGGGTCTTCGAACCTCTGTCTGACCGCGTCGCGCGCACTGTAGGCCTCGAAGACCTCGTCGTCATTGCTCGCGAATGCGTCGTTGCCAAAATCGCGTCCGTCGTCATCTGCTGCATTTGCTCCTTCATTGGACTCCTCGTCCGGGATGTCCTCATCCTCGGATGCGTATTCGACCCGGTTGGCCTTTCTATTCTTTCGTCAATGCTACTGCTCAACAGCCAATCCCGCCTGAGTGCTTCTTGATAGCAATATCCACCCGATCGACCTGAGACCGAGATGGCGAGCGGGAATAAGGTCGAATATTGGTAGAACAAATATTAGAGCTCTAACAAATGGTTGAATTTCGAGAAACTGATTTTTAAACCGACCGAATTTATATTCTGGTTGCGCGTCATCGCTGTCCGCTCCTCTCCCTCTCTCGCGCACGTCGTGACAGTGCGCCCTCCGCGTAGGAGACGCCCCGAGCCGATACTCCGGCCCCCGTTGAGCACAGTGTTCCTCTTCTGATCATCCGAGAGATTCGCTTCGTCCAGAAGAACGTACGCCATCAAGTCGTCCGGGAGCGTGGCACTGTCGCGTCTCTCCTGCAAGTCTTCCCACGCTTCCCACTGTTGGACTGTCCACCCGTGACCATGCCGCGTCTCCGAAAGCTCCGCTTGAAGAAACTGTCCAACGCCATAGCCTTTCTCACGATGGTTTCCTTGTCCAGGGTAGCCGACGCATCGAAGATCTTCATCTCTCCTCCTTCTTGTCGTTTCTCGTCGGTCTCTTGGGCTAGGTGCTCCGTTCGACGCCGTGCTCGTCCATGCAAACCATCCAACGGCTTCACTCTGAACCTGCGCTTCTTCTTCTTCTTGTCGAAGCTCGTCGCGACTTTTTTCGTCGTCGGCGCCATTGCCCTCGAGACGTGCAAATGCCAGAGCGATTTGCTTCTTATACTCCTTGAGCAAGTCTGGACTGGCGCCGGTGTAATGGGGCAGACCATTTTTGTCCACCACGATCTCATCGTCTCGGTAGTAGGAGCATCCAACTCCCTGGTCGTTCATCCTGCGGCGCCTGGGCTCACTGAAGGTCATGGCGTTCGGCCACGTCCACACCAATCGCAACCACTGGCTCCGCATACCAATCTGAAAGCGTATTGTATCGATCAAGATAAGCTTGTTTTATCACATCCACAGCCCCGTGCGGGCCAGAGCTAGCTGCTGCGGAGTCTAGCTCCCAATACAGTAAGCTCTAAAGGCCGGCCTGTGGGCCGACACGGAATCGGGCAGAGGGCGAGGCGGCGGAGGCAGGGATACTCAGGAGAGGAAGTAAATGAGGTAAAGGGCGTACAGGGTCAGGACCAGGCGGGCTCCATGAGGCTCCTTGGTCTCACCTCCTGGGAATCTAAGAAAGCTTGAGCTGCCTGGACGCTTGGCTCGCCCAAAGCTGGGTCCAATCCAAACGTGCGGGGCCTTCAACCAGCTCGAGCTCAAGATCCGATTCAGTAGCGGGGCAAGCCAAAAAGAGACGAATCCGAATCGAGGCGAAACGCACGGACAATGGATTGACCGAAACACGGTGAACTGAGACGCGACGAACTGAGACAGACGAACACGAACCCAAACGACCCTAAATCGGATCGAAGCGATGAGACGAGCCGCACCCGTTTCGGCTCACCCTCCTGAAACCACATGGCGCCTGATGCCGAAGAGCTCGCACTCTGATGGTCAAGACCATTGCAAACTTACCAAGGATGTGCGGCCCCAGGGCCGCGATCCTGGCGCAAATTCGACTCATCCGTGCTCTGCTGAACTGTGCTGCGTCGTGCTGCGTTGATCTGTGCTGTGTTCGATTGCGGTGTGGGACAAGTTGTCCGTGGCATCCGAATCCTGATCGAACTGGTCAGGATCTTAAGCTTGAGCTGCCTGGAAGCATAGCTCGCCCAGAGCCGGTTGCAGTCGGAACGTGCGGGGCCTTCAACCAGCTCGAGCTCAAGATCCGATTCTGTTCTGAAGCGTGACGGCTCAAGAGGGAGCCAATCCGAACCGAGGCAAAACGCACCGACACTGGACGGACCGACATGCGGTGAACCGAGATGCGACAAACTGAGACAAAACGAATCGAAACAATCAGGCCGAGACGAAAGCCGAACCAACCCTCAATCGGATCGAAGCAAGACGAACCGAGACTGGGACGAGCCGAATACGTTTCGAATCATCCTCCCGAAACCACATGGCGTCTCCCACCGAAAGAGCCGCACTATGAGGACCAAGACACGTGCAAGTTACCAAGGATACGCGGCCCCAAGGCCGCGAATTCTGGCGCCAGATGCGACGGATCCGTGCTGGGCTGACCTGTGACGCGTCGTGCTGCGCTGAGCTGTGCTGTGTTGAGCTGTGCCGAACTGAGAATCTGACCTCCCAACATGCGTGCTCACTGTGGCGCCTGGCACACCCCGTGCGTTCTCTGAGGAGCCAAAGCTCGAAAGCGAAGCCGAACAACTGTGCTGTGCTGTGAGACTGTTACTAGGATGGGGTGGGTGCGCTCTCTGAGCCTACTGGAGCATCCCGGAACGTCCAGGTTCCCCCAACTCTGAAAAAGACAGCGTTTGGCTGGAAACATCCTCAACGGATTCTGAAGAAGAAGAAGCAGAAGAAGAAGCGTTTCAATCGAGACATCCTCAAACTCTGCAAAACAAGCGTTTCGCCTGAGCCATCCTCAACAGGACATGTAAAGAAAGGGTTTCGCCAGAAACATCCTCAACAAATGAACTCGCTGGCCCTACGCGACCTTGTTACCTACCACGAAAACATGTCGCCGGCGCTACGCAAATCGAAGGCTGACATAGTTACCAACTCAACAAAAACCGTGAACCCAAACCTCTCCCTGGACCAAAACAAGATCGACCCACGAACCCGGAAAGGGACTTAGAACTCCGAGGCCTGGGAACGCTCGAAGCCCCTCAGATGAGCGATGGGCAGTGGCAGAGCTGAAGGTATCAGTGGTGATGCTGATGTGTCATGGAGCTGTGTTGTGCTTCTCTGCACCGTGCCGCGCCGCACAGTGACGTGCCAGGGGACGCGCCGCACGGTGTGCCAGGGGGACGTGCCAGGGGGGCGCGCCACGGAGCGTGCCGAAAACGTACCATGGGACGTGCCGGGGGACGGGCCAGCCGGCGTGCCCAGGAGAGGCGCTGGGGCAAGTGCAAGGGGACGAGCCCGAGGGTTTCACGATTCCCCGTAGATTGCACCGGGCGATGGGCGACGGGCAGGGGCAGTGCTGAAGATACGCATTGTGATGCTGCTGTGCCAGGGGCTGTGTTGTGCTACTCTGCACCGTCCCGCGCCGCACGGCGACGTACTAAGGGACGCGCCACCGAACGTGCCAGTGGACGTGCCAGGGGGGCGCGCCGCGCGATGTGTGCGGCAATGCCAAAAATATGAAGCGTGATGTACTGTGCAAGAGGTTATGATGTGCTGTGCTGTGCTGGAATGAGATGTGTCATGCCGCGATGAACTGCGTTATGCTCTGCAGTGTTGTGTATCAAGTCGCCCTTGGAATCCGAATCCTGACTGGACTGATTTGGATCTTAAGCTCGAGCTGCCTGAGCGAATAGCTGGCCCAGAGCTGGTTGCAATCGAAAAATGTTGGACGCTCAATCTGCTCGAGCTCAAGATCCGAATCAATTCCGAGGCGGGAGGAGACGGCACGGAGCGCAGGGCGCATGAATGCGCCACGGGAGTTGCCAGGGGCGCACCAAAGAATGCGCCAGAAGGGACGTGGCAAGGAACGCTTGTCCCGCTCCAAGGCGTTAGGAACCCACGTGGGTTCACGCGTCAAGAACACACACGTGTTCACGCTTGTCCCACTCTGGGACGTTAGGAACCGCTTGTCCCGCTCTGGGGCGTTAGGAACCTGCGTTTTCTCACGCTCACACGGCCACGATCCCTCAGAGATAACGGTCCGACCGCACTGCATCCTGGGGCGTCCAGGCCTTTCAAGCGCTGCAAAACAAGCGCTTCGCTGGAGACATCCTCAGGAATGTGGCACGCAGGGCGCGCCTTCCTCGAGCGGGCACGCCAGAAGCCAACCTGACTTCTGCAGCGCAAGCGCGGGGAGCTCGAGGCATCCTCAGGAAACCTCTGCGCACAGGGAGCGCCGTCCTCGAGCGGGCGCGCAAAGAGTCAACATCCCGGCAGTACCCAAAACAATTAAAAGTCTCCGAACCTAGTGATTTAGTTGGGATCCTGCGCAAAACGCTCCGCACCCCAACGTAAGCAACGGAAAGCGAGGGTCTGCAGACCCCCTGTTAGGCAATGAGGCTCCGAGATGGAGAGCACATTCTCCGCGAGCGGGCACGTGCGAAACGCACTTATCATATAGCACGATTATTCATATTCGTATTATTATTCGTACTACTACTAGTAGTAGTATTATTGATATGATCCTGAATGCCATTTTTAGTAATACCATTATTCCCAGTATCACTCGCAGAATAATAATGATGATAATACCAATAATAGAACTACTAAAAAGCATGATCCTTATGACTAGAAGTATCATTATTCTTAGTTTGATGATTATGATTGTTGTGATTCGAATCATTCATGATACATATAACATAAGCATGGGGGTTCACCTTGTTTTTTTATCGAGCGAAAAAATGTAGGCTCTGCGCGAACTTGGCACCGGGAGACAAGTTTACAATTTACCAGATAACCCTGGGCCCACGACCTTTCCGGGAAAAGACGACGGCACATGTTGGCCCATTTTCGAACTCTGGGGACCCCCGCAGGGCCCCGGGACCATCAAGACAAGGGGTCCAAACCTCTCGGGAGTCACGTGGCTTATTTGGGAAAAACGCCAGAGGATGCCTGGGCCCACGACGACCAAAATGACGAGGAAGGATGCCACCAGCTAGATCGAAACAAAAAGGCCAATAAACCTACCGCCGAATTCTCGTCTGTTCCTCCCGGGCGAGATCAAGACGCTGAAGTGAGAAAGGGCGGGGAGGGGAGAGAAGCGAAGGACCCCTTGAAGCGAACGATGCATGCAACTCGTGTTGGCAATCCATCACAAGACTGCTGGCATATATATATATATATATATATATATATATATATATATATACATATATATATATGTATATATATACACGACCATGACGACTCGGCTCACATTCGAGGCATGGATGGGAGAAGTGACGGGGATTGAGAGATGATGCTGGGTCGGAAAGATGGCGAATGACCTTGATAAGCAGGTCAGAGATCCCGTGTGAAAACGGTGATGCCAAAACTGTGTTTGTGCAGACACGTCCCCCCCGATCCGGCTGCAGGGTGGGATGCTGGCGCAGAAACTGAAGAAGAACCTAGTTAAAACGTTCACGGTGCATGCGCAAGGCCCCTGTGAAAACACATGCTTGGAGGGGCTGCCTCGCGGGCCCACCCCCAAGAGCTCCTCCGTCACTCCTCACTCCTCCCCCGGCCAGGGTCCTTCAGGAGGTTCCTGATCCAAGTCGTGGGGCACAACGTGTCGTCCCAGTCCATGAATATCACGGTGCGGTGGTGAGGGAACGCTCCTGAGCTGGCTGTCGCAGGCGCACCCCGCGCACACGCACACACACACACACACGCATATACTTACACACACACATGCACACACACACACACACACACACACACGCACACGCGCACGCACACACACGCACACACACACACACACGCACACGCACACGCACACACACACACACACACACGCACACTTTGTGGCGTGGCGGTCATGCTCGAGGCAGCGCGGCGTAGGGCAAGTCAAGCTAGCAGAGCGCGGACCGGGGCGGCTCGCGCAGCGTGGAGAAGCTGGATGCGCCCATCGGGGATCGACGATGACACTCGCGAGGGGGAGGTCGCGAGAGGAGCGCGGGCAGGGAAAAAAGCAAAGGGGAAGGGGGACGGACAAAGAGGAAGCAGTGCGACAGTGACGAGAAGAGGCGACAAGCGTGGAACAATAGGAAAGCGGCAACGCCCTGAGGCCCCCTGCAGGTTTCCAAAGAAGAATCCTCGTTTTCCTCCTCGTCCTTGTCTTCATCTTCATCTTCATCATCATCATCATCATCATCAGCATCATCATCATCAGCAGCATCATCATCAGCAGCAGCATCAGCATCAGCTTCAGCATCATCATCATCATCATCATCATCATCATCATCATCATCATCATCATCACCATCATCATCATCATCATCATCATCATCATCATCATCATCATCATCATCATCATCATCATCGTCGTCATCATCATCATGATGACCACCACCACAACCACCGCCATCAGCATCGTCATCATCATCATCATCATCATCATCATCATCATCATCATCGTCGTCATCGTCCTCATCATCATCATCATCATCATCATCATCATCAGCATCAGCATCAGCATCAGCATCAGCATCAGCATCATCAGCATCAGCATCAGCATCAGCATCAGCATCAGCATCATCATCATCATCATCATCATCATCATCATCATCATCATCATCATCATCATCATCATTGTTTTCCCTTCTCGCTCCTTCTTCTACCTCCTATCCTCCTGCTCAAATGCTCCTATCCCCTCCTCGTCCCTCCTGCCAGTTTCGCCAAGCAATGCCAAGCAATGCCAAGCAATGCGCAGTAATGCCGAGCAATGCGAAGCAATGCCAAGCAATGCCAAGCGCTGTCAAGCAATGCCAGACGATGCCAAGCAATGCCAAGCAGTGCGCGCTTGCACCAGGAAGCTCCCCCCTAATTGGGATCGCTGCAATTTCACTGTGTCTTGTGAAGGCAGGATGATGGCTGGCGCCGGCAGGCAGGCCACCCTTCGGTCTGCGCACAGGCAGGCCGGTCGGAAGGACAAGTCTACTCGTTCGACGCTTCGGCGATCGCTACGCGGGGCGGGGACGAGGAAGAGAAGCAGCAGCTAGACGTTGAGAAACAGGAAGCAGGGATAACACGGGAAAAAATGCATACATGTCGATGTATATATAATATGTTAGGACCATCGCGCGCGCTTCGCGCGCGCTCAAGTTCTAGCTAGGCTTAATGGGCGAACGCATGGAATATCCTCTGTGTCGTTTCTTGCATCCAAGGACTCTCTTGTCTTGGAGGCCCTGCGCAGGCCTCGAAATCGTATAGAAGGGGAACTGCGGAAACGCAAAAATCATGAATTGCCGTTATGTATTCTACGATTTGGGGCCCTCGAAAGCTTCCTGGGTTCTTTCCTGGGGCCTTAATTGTGGTCCGTTGTGCAAGAATTGACAAGGGGGCGAACTTGGAGGAAAAAAACGGAAGGGTGGGATTTCCTTTTTTGAGGTTGTAGTGCCTGGGCTCTGGGTTCTATGTTTTCCGCATGCAGGCCACGGTCTGTTGGGATGCCTCTCGGGGTCTTCGTGCGAAAATCAGCAGGGGGCGAGTTTGAAAAAAAAAGAATTCCCAAATTCCACTGTTTCAACTCATGGGAGCATGGGATCTCGAGTTCTACAATTTCTTCAGTGGCAGCCAAGAGGACACGAAGACGATCCAAGAGTGCCAAGACAGCGTCTGAGAGTTCAACGGCATTCCCGATGAATTTTTGCATGTGACCCCGAAGTCTTGATAGGGGCTCGAAGAAGAGGATAGGGAGTAGGAATGTCAACTTGAAGAAAAAGGAATCTCTGGAACTCCGTTTTTGTTTCAAATTCCTCGGTCTTGGAGCGTTGGAAGCGGGAAAACGTGAGAAGGTGAAAAAAATCTACACCAACCACTGGCAAACATGGTTTTTTCCCAACTCTCCTGCGTTGGGTTCTCGTTTTGAATAGAGCACTGCTCGCGCGTCTCCTTCCTTCCCGCCCCCCCCCGTCCCTCTTTTCCCCCTGCCTTTGACCTCGCCATCCCTGGGGGGCTGCGATCTGTGAAACTGTCGCCACGTTCGAGGCCTGCTGGGGAGCCCAGCACAGTGGGTACACACGGCGGATTCAAATTGGATCTCGCCATCCCTGGGGGGCTGCGATCTGTGAAACTGTCGCCACTTCTGAGGCCTGCTGGGGGGCCCAGCACAGTGGGCACACACGGCGGATTCAAATTAGACCTCGCCATCCCTGGGGGGCTGCGATCTGTGAAACTGTCGCCACTTTCGAGGCCTGCTGGGGGGCCCAGCACAGTGGGTACACACGGCGGATTCAAATTGACCTCGCCATCCCTGGGGGGCTGCGATCTGTGAAACTGTCGCCACTTTCGAGGCCTGCTGGGGGGCCCAGCACAGTGGGTACACACCGCGGATTCAAATTAGACCTCGCCATCCCTGGGGGGCTGCGATCTGTGAAACTGTCGCCACTTTCGAGGCCTGCTGGGGGGGCCCAGCACAGTGGGCACTCACCGCAGATTCAAATTAGACCTCGCCATCCCTGGGGGGCTGCGATCTGTGAAACTGTCGCCACTTTCGAGGCCTGCTGGGGGGCCCAGCACAGTGGGTACCCACGGCGGATTCAAATTAGACCTCGCCATCCCTGGGGGGCTGCGATCTGTGAAACTGTCGCCACTTTCGAGGCCTGCTGGGGGGCCCAGCACAGTGACGCCACGGCGGATTCAAATTAGACCTCGCCATCCCTGGGGGGCTGCGATCTGTGAAACTGTCGCCACTTTCGAGGCCTGCTGGGGGGCCCAGCACAGTGGGTACACACGGCGGATTCAAATTGCACCTCGCCATCCCTGGGGGGCTGCGATCTGTGAAACTGTCGCCACTTTCGAGGCCTGCTGGGGGGCCCAGCACAGTGGGTACACACGGCGGATTGAAATTAGACCTCGCCATCCTGGGGGGCTGCGATCTGTGAAACTGTCGCCACTTTCGAGGCCTGCTGGGGGGCCCAGCACAGTGGGTACCCACGGCGGACTCAAATGGACCTCGCCATCCCTGGGGGGCTGCGATCTGTGAAACTGTCGCCACTTTCGAGGCCTGCTGGGGGGCCCAGCACAGTGACCCACGGCGGACCCAAATTAGACCTCGCCATCCCTGGGGGGCTGCGATCTGTGAAACTGTCGCCACTTTCGAGGCCTGCTGGGGGCCCAGCACAGTGACCCACGGGCGGACTCAAATTAGACCTCGCCATCCCTGGGGGGCTGCGATCTGTGAAACTGTCGCCACTTTCGAGGCCTGCTGGGGGGCCCAGCACAGTGGGTACCACCGCGGATTCAAATTAGACCTCGCCATCCCTGGGGGGCTGCGATCTGTGAAACTGTCGCCACTTTCGAGGCCTGCTTGCGGGACCCAGCACAGTGGGTACCCACGGCGGATTATTCAAATTGAACCTCGCCATCCCTGGGGGCTGCGATCTGTGAAACTGTCGCCACTTTCGAGGCCTGCCGGGGGGGCCCAGCACAGTGGGTACCCACCACGAACTCAAATTAGACCTCGCCATCCCTGGGGGGCTGCGATCTGTGAAACTGTCGCCTCTTTCGAGGCCTGCTGGGGGGCCCAGCACAGTGGGTACACACGGCGGATTGAAATTAGACCTCGCCATCACTGGGGGGCTGCGATCTGTGAAACTGTCGCCACTTTCGAAGCCTGCTGGGGGGCCCAGCACAGTGGGTACCCACCGCAGATTCAAACTAGACCTCGCCATCCCTGGGGGGCTGCGATCTGTGAAACTGTCGCCACTTTCGAGGCCTGCTGAGGGGCCCAGCATAGTGGGTACCCACTGCAGATTCACACTCGACCTCGCCATCCCTGGGGGGCTGCGATCTGTGAAACTGTCGCCACTTTCGAGGCCTGCTGGGGGGCCCAGCACAGTGGGTACCCACCGCAGATTCAAATTAGACCTCGCCATCCCTGGGGGGCTGCGATCTGTGAAACTGTCGCCACTTTCGAGGCCTGCTGGGGGGCCCAGCACAGTGGGTACCCACCGCAGATTCAAATTAGACCTCGCCATCCCTGGGGGGCTGCGATCTGTGAAACTGTCGCCACTTTCGAGGCCTGCTTGGGGGGCCCAGCACAGTGGGCACCCACCGCAGATTCAAATTGGACCTCGCCATCCCTGGGGGGCTGCGATCTGTGAAACTGTCGCCACTTTCGAGGCGTGCTCGCGGGGCCCAGCACAGTGCGTACCCACCGCAGATTTAAGTTGGACCTCGCCATCCCTGGGGGGCTGCGATCGGTGAAACTGTCGCCGCTTTCGAGGCCTGCTTGCGGGACCCAGCACAGTGGGTACCCACGGCGGACTCAAATGGAACCTCGCCATCCCTGAGGGGCTGCGATCTGTGAAACTGTCGCCACTTTCGAGACCTGCTGGGGGGCCCAGCACAGTGACGCCATACGCAGATTCAAATTAGACCTCGCCATCCCCGGGGGGCTGCGATCTGTGAAACTGTCGCCACTTTCGAGGCCTGCTTGCGGGGCCCAGCACAGTGACGCCTCCCAAGTAGCTTACACATCAAGTTGATTGTCCATACAAGTTTCGGCCAACTCCTCGTTTCCATTGATACAAATGGGTTGGGTACGTCACAGGGTAATTACCCTCTTCGGGCTCTCTCGGGACGGCTCTCGAAGCTCTCTTGGAATGTTTTGGTT